AAATACAAATCAGGTACATAAGAACGTAGTTAGAGAAAAGTTCAAAATAGAACAGAATCAGGATTCAGGAGTAATCATTCTGTATAAAGGCAATAATATTTCACTGAGCAGAATAAAATAAGATCACAATAAGCAACATAATTACTACATGGCATAACAAGGCACCACCTATCGACTATTGAGTGTCAGGTCCTGAAAAAAAAATCGTCTACCCAAGTCTCATTTTTTCTTCCTTCTGATTCAGTAGACTGGTCTTGATTTTTTATCCAACCTCATCCTGAACAATCTATCTACACCATATCCCACTCCAGGTTGGTCAAACTCCCTTAAATTAATAAATTTTGCAGCGTTGAAGAATTAGTGATCCAGGTGAAAACATTACAATTTGATTGATACCAAGTATATTTGAAATCTTAGTTTCAGTTATCAACTAGATTCGAAGAATGACAGCGTTCTACAGCAGTTATCTCCAAACCCTTCTTTTTCTGTCAGAACCGTTCGTGAGGAAATAATGAAAACTAGAATGCTTGATGGGGATATTAAAGAGTGGTATGAAGAGTCGATGCTCCTCAAAGATCAAAGTCTTCATGTGGAGTGTGGTGTTAAACAAAATAGCTACAGCCAGTCGACTATTTTACAAGGGTATGGATGTCTCTCATCTCTGCCCTCTGTGCAATCTAGATATTGAGTCTTTCCCTCATCTCCTTTGTTGACCTGCCACATACCACCAATTCTGGACATCCCTGGTGCCTCCAATGCTCTCGGTCCCATCTTTCAATAACTCTGTAACTGTTGAGCAAGTCCTGCTCTGTTTGAAGTTCTTTAGGGGTCTGGTCTGGGTAAAGAAGTATGGATCTCTTTATCAATGATATTATATGGACCGTTTAGAAGAGAAGAAAACTACCACTTTGGCACAAATGGTCATGGATGTTAAAACTTACATCTAGAACTGGCTAGGCACAAGTATCTCAAGGAATCACATGCATTTTGAGGAGCTTATATAAAGTATCAGTGGAAGAACGAATATTAGTTCACTCATCTAAGCAACGACAGAGCTTTTATTGTTTAAATGACTTAGCTGTACATATTTAGTTACCTATCAAATGCTTGAACTCAAACTATAACAACCCGTTTCTCCTAGTAACCTTTCAGTTAATTAATAATTCCATCAAGTCAGAGAATATCAATTTAAGAGAAAAACAACATACAACAAATGTGCAGATACTAGAAACAACATTATAGAGAAAATCAATAACAAGACACATAGAGTAAAACTACAGAAATGTCTACTAAAACTGAAATAACATTTACAAAAATATACAAATAGAAAAGAGAGAAGCTAACCTCATCTTGCGAAGAACATTGGACATCTCTTCTCTCTTCTTCTTAGCTCTCTTGTGAGTACCCAACTTCCTCTTAGCCACTTTCAAAGCACGCTTATCTTTCCCAACTTTAAGAAGCTCAGTAATCCTCTTTTCATAAGGTGCAAATCCAGCCACTTCCCTAATAAGATTCCTCACGAAATGAACCCTCTTGCTAGTTTTCTACAGCACAAAACAAACAATTCCAACATTTCAATCAATACAAAAAAAACCCCATTTCATAATCAAACAAACACAAAAACTAACGAACCGAAAAAACAAAAGTACCCCTTTTCTTGCAGAAGGACGAGGAGCTAGTTCTCGTTTGGTGACAATATGACCTTTGTTAAGACCAACAAAAAGCCCTGATTTAGGCTGTGGAGGAGCCATTACCTGATAAAATAACAACAAAATAATTAAAGAGAAGTTCACTGTGAGATGTTTGTAAATAGATCGGAGAAGATAGATTCATTACCTGCGATTTAAGGATCCCAAGCAGAAGAAGTGCCAATCTGTAATGGCCGAAAACCCCTACTCGTGCAAATTTTCTTGATTTATATAGACCCTAGAAAGTAGTAGGTTTTCCTTCAGTTTGGGCTTCTTAAATGGGTTTACTGGATTCAATGAGTTTCTCATTTGGCCTTTTACTGGATATACGAGGTCTTTGGCCCAGCCCTCTTTTAATGAGCAAAACAAATGCTAACAAGAAATAAAAAAGTGATAGTTCTTTGGACTGGGCCCATCTGGCCATAGCGGACCGATGGAGCACCCGTCTCGTTATCCTTCCACTGTCAAGAGAGGGAGGTTTTCGCTGCTCTGTGAAACCAGCCTGACGAGGTCCCCTCCACTCTAGGAACCAAGTGGCACAGGCCTTCGCCTGTCACACATAGTCCAACTCCCAACTTGGAACGGGCGAGTCAGTATGTGCAGCACAAGCCCAACCAGATCAAGCAAAGCCCAAAGTCCAATCACCTTAATGCCCTCACATGAGTTACAAGCCCGTGTTACTGAGCTCGGCAATAGATTATGTTATGAAGGCCTATATTTACCACAGAATTTTGTATTCATTTATCATTGTGGGACTAACTGACTAAGAAGCTCATGTTTTCTGCAACATTTCAGTACAAATAAGGACTAGAGAATTGTAGGAGCATATCTCAGAGAATAACAGCCACACCAAAGTCCTTACCTGAAATTAAGGTCACACTCAATGCCCTTGTTGAATATATTTCTCTTTCAGTCTTCTTGAGTGCTTAGAGCATCTGTTTCTCACTTTCTCTCTTGCTATTTCACAAAGCAGCTACGAAATCAAATGACAGGTAAGGTTAAATATCCAACCAGTCAACCACTCTGTTGAAATGTACAGGGAATAAGATTGGTTTAATATTTTTGAGACCATTGCTCGCGGCAATATAGTGGATTGTTCAACCAGAAAAGTTCTTCTTCTCTGAGAGAGTATTCAGTATTACTTCCAGATATATCACTCACTTGTTCAGGCTGTGGTGCCTCATTTCTTAAGCAGGGGAGCAACACTTTTCCAAGACATCATCCAAGTCTGTTTATAGTATTATTACTTCCAGTTATATCACTCACTTGTTCCTAAATGAGGAAAAATGTATGTTTATAGTTAAATCTCGCTTGGCTGGAAGCTCAGCCAGGGAGTGTCTGGTTTTTTTTTTTAATTCAGTTGTGGCATAATTGCCCAACACAAGGCAAGAGTTTGCTCTTTAACCAATAGAAAACTAGAAATCATGCACCTCAGAATAACAACACTTTCACCCATATCAGTCAAGAGCTTTACAAGATGCACTTGATTGTGCAACCATTATTCATTAATCACCCTAAAAATGAACTTGAAAGTGAACTAGGATAAAAAAAAATAATCAGTGACCGAGTGACCCAACCAGACTAACTAGCACAAAAATATTCTCAGACTAGAACTACTTCAGTTTGAGTTTGTTCCACACGAATCGTGTGGAGCATAACACTCCATCTCCACCGTTGAAACCAATTTTTTTATTTTTTAAACTCAAAAACCTGCCCATGGCATGTATTGGGGGAGGGTCAGGATGGAGTGTTATGCTCCACACGAATCTATTCGTGTGGAACAAAGCCACTCTCGAACTACTTCAACCAAGTAAGCTCAAGAATTCATGCATCACCTCAAACAAATTAATGATATATGCTTCAATTTGGATCCTACCATACCCTACAATTACAAATTCATCTTGTGCTCGAGATAGCACACAAAGGTAAAACATTAACCATGCTCCCCAGATTAGACTTTTAATATACACCGTGGAGTCTTTTTAACCATGGAGTCTTAACAAATTCCCAGACTTTTTTTAACCATGGAGTGCCATATTAACATGCAAAAATATGTAACAAAATTGTCATGCCCATAGTTGCAGCCACAATCTTCTAATTTCTAAGGGCTGTTTAATGATATTATCATACTGAAAAGTAAAATCACACCGTCTATCTTATGAAAAAAAATTGTAACACAAATTAACTTAAATTTAGTCATGTCTTGAAGTTTAAAGACAAAAATCATATAACAGGCTACAAGCCAGCCACATTAAGACATTAAAATTACACGAATGTAATCAATCTATTGATAACCTGCTGCAAATCTAATTTCAGAATAGTTGATCATTTCTTCTTCTCAGCAACACCAGCAGACCTGCATCCAGAGTATTGAAAATAAGAAACCACGCAAATCCAACAAAAAGACACAAATGTAATTACTAACTAGAACTAGAATTTTCATTTTACTTTTTATCTTTCAATTCGTAAATTGTAAAATCAGATATACCCGTTAACTTTGGCTACATGAATAATCAACCTCTTAATGACCAACTGTAAGACATCACTCAAATTGAACTCTTTCATATCTGGCTCATCACCCAAGGGTAAAGGAAGAGAGTAATCCCACATATTGAACAATGAACATAAATCAAGAAAAAAAAATCACATATGGATGTAAAAACTTACATCTAGAACTGACTAGACACTAACATCGTCAAGAAGAACAGACATTTTGAAGAGCTTATATTCACACAGGATTCCAACATTAACTTAAGTAATCTGAATTAATAGTTGTGCTTCCATGTTAGTGAACATCATTGTAGCACAATGTGCATTTTCGTAGTTCCGTTTTCTCTCAATCAGTAAGATCCCAATTTATCAATATAGATATAAATTTAAGTGCAAGAATGACGGAGTGGTAGTTCATTCGTCTCAGTCAGTGAACTGAGCTTTTATTGTTTAAATGACTTATCGTTTTAGTTAACTATCAAATGTTTGAAATCAAACTATAACGACAAGTTTCTCCTACTAATTTTTCAGTTAATTCATGATTCCATCAAGTAAGACGATTTAAAAGAAAAAC